CACCACCACCACCACTGTAACATCCAGCACCACCACCACCATCACTGTAACATCCAGCACCACCACCACCATCACTGTAACATCCAGCACCACCACCACATCACTGTAACATCCAGCACCACCACCACCATCACTGTAACATCCAGCACCACCACCACCATCACTGTAACATCCAGCACCACCACCACCAATGTAACATCCATCACCACCACCACCACTGTAACATCCATCACCACCACCACCACTGTAACATCCAGCACCACCACCACCACCACTGTAACATCCATCACCACCGCCACCACTGTAACATCCATCACCACCGCCACCACTGTAACATCCATCACCACCGCCACCACTGTAACATCCATCACCACCACCACCACTGTAACATCCAGCACCACCACCACCACTGTAACATCCAGCACCACCGCCACCACTGTAACATCCAGCACCACCGCCACCACTGTAACATCCATCACCACCGCCACCACTGTAACATCCAGCACCACCGCCACAACTGTAACATCCATCACCACCGCCACCACTGTAACATCCAGCACCACCACCACCACTGTAACATCCAGCACCGCCGCCACCACTGTAACATCCAGCACCACTGCCACCACTAACATCCAGCACCACCGCCACCACTGTAACATCCAGCACAACCGCCACCACTGTAACATCCAGCACCACCACCACCACTTTAACATCCAGCACCACCACCACTGTAACATCCATCACCACCGCCACCACTGTAACATCCAGAACCACCACCACCACTGTAACATCCAGCACCACCGCCACCACTGTAACATCCAACACCACCGCCACCACTGTAACATCCAACACCACCGCCACCACTGTAACATCCAGCACCACCGCCACCACTAACATCCAGCACCACTGCCACCACTGTAACTTCCAGCACAACCGCCACCACTGTAACATCCAGCACCAGCACCACCACTGTAACATCCAGCTCCACCACTGTAACAGCCATCACCACCGCCACCACTGTAACATCCAGCACCACCGCCACCACTGTAACATCCATCACCACCGCCACCACTGTAACATCCAGCACCACTGCCACCACTTTAACATCCATCACCACCGCCACCACTGTAACATCCAGCACCACCACTGTAACATCCATCACCACCGCCACCACTGTAACATCCATCACCACCGCCACCACTGTAACATCCATCACCACCGCCACCACTGTAACATCCATCACCACCGCCACCACTGTAACATCCATCACCACCGCCACCACTGTAACATCCAGCACCACCGCCACCACTGTAACATCCAGCACCACCGCCACCACTGTAACATCCAGCACCACCGCCACCACTGTAACATCCATCACCACCGCCACCACTGTAACATCCAGCACCACCACTGTAACATCCATCACCACCGCCACCACTGTAACATCCATCACCACCGCCACCACTGTAACCATCCATCACCACCGCCACCACTGTAACATCCAGCTCCACCGCCACCACTGTAACATCCATCACCACCGCCACCACTGTAACATCCATCACCACCGCCACCACTGTAACATCCAGCTCCACCGCCACCACTGTAACATCCATCACCACCGCCACCACTGTAACATCCAGCACCACCACTGTAACATCCAGCACCACCGCCACCACTGTAACATCCATCACCACCGCCACCACTGTAACATCCAGCACCACCGCCACCACTGTAACATCCATCACCACCGCCACCACTGTAACATCCAGCACCACCACTGTAACATCCAGCACCACCGCCACCACTGTAACATCCATCACCACCGCCACCACTGTAACATCCAGCACCACCGCCACCACTGTAACATCCATCACCACCGCCACCACTGTAACATCCAGCACCACCACTGTAACATCCAGCACCACCGCCACCACTGTAACATCCATCACCACCGCCACCACTGTAACATCCAGCACCACCGCCACCACTGTAACATCCAGCACCACCGCCACCACTGTAACATCCATCACCACCGCCACCACTGTAACATCCAGCACCACCACTGTAACATCCAGCACCACCACTGTAACATCCATCACCACCGCCACCACTGTAACATCCAGCACCACCACCACCACTGTAACATCCAGCACCACCACCACCACTGTAACATCCAGCACCACCACCACCACTGTAACATCCAGCACCACCACCACCACTGTAACATCCAGCACCACCACCAGCCACTTCTATCTTCCTTCCATGTCTTTTTTTCCCTTTCACCTCTTCCCTTCCTCCCCGTCTCCCTCTTCCGTATGTGCCCGTTCCTCTGCTGGGTGGGTAGCTCTCTCCTGCCCTCCACAAGTGGGGCACGCGTTCAGTATGCTAAATCACGAGAGGCAAGGTTAGGCAGGTGGGTGCTATCAGCAAGAATACACTGGGTGATAGCAAGGTGGGTGCTATCAGCAAGAATACACTGGGTGATAGTGAGGTGGGTGCTGTCAGCAATACACTGGGTGATAGGTGGGTGCTGTCAGCAATACACTGGGTGATAGGTGGGTGCTGTCAGCAATACACTGGGTGATAGTGAGGTGGGTGCTGTCAGCAATACACTTTGTGATAGTGAGGTGGGTGCTGTCAGCAATACACTGGGTGATAGTGAGGTGGGAGAAGTGCCTTTCCGTGTCTCCTGTACTTATTGATGGAGTGGACCTACTAGAGATCTCTTCTTGGAGTGGGTTGTATGGGGTATTGGAGTGGATCTACTAGGGCAGGATGTCTGTTGCTGGAGTGGGTTGTATGGGTCATCGACTGCTGGGAACCTTGTCAAACGCATTCTTGTTCTCCAGGAAGATGCAGTTCTTGTTGACCCTCCTCTTCCCCAGGGTCGTCAGGTTCAGTTCCTTTAGTCTCTCCTCGCTGTTTATTCCTCTTTAATACTAGTCTTCCTCAGACATTTTTTTAGATAATTTATGTCATAGAAGGAAGATTGTGTTTACGTTATTAACTGTTGTTGTGAAATTTGTAGTGTCTGGTAGACCGTCGAGGTTATGCAGGTTTTGTGTACTTCTGTGGCTTGATGCTGACTCACGAGAACTTTTCTTTGTCTTTTACACAGAGATTGACCTCTCAGCCACTGGCTGTACTCCCTCTCAGCCACTGGCTGTACTCCCTCTCAGCCACTGGCTGTACTCCCTCTCACGTCTGACTTCTCCTTCTGTTGTTACGATTTTGTATTTGTCTGCTTTGAACTCCAGTAAATACCTGTTGACGTTGCTGAACCTCACCTTGTCCTCTCATTGCTTTATCCGTCTCATTAGTTTGACATCAGAGAGACGTAAGATTCATCTTCCTCTCGAGATCATTAATATAAATAAGGAACAACAATATTCCCAGAAGCTATCCTTGAAGGACCCTCACTGACACCACTTTCCTCACCACTACTTTGTCCCTTTCCTTTGAAGTATTATCTCGGCCAGTTTAGCTCTTCGGGGGACAAACAGTTTGTTTCTGATAAAGGACTCTTGATCCTTGTAAATTGAGGTTCCTTCTGCTCCCTTGGAGTAGACATGATTACCAGTTCTTGACAAGTATTCTCCGAAGCGAAGAAAACATACGTGGAGGATGCATGAAGAACTGCTCCCAAATCTACACACTGCCATAACAACTTATTGGAGGGAAAAGTAGGGTAGGAAATGTAAACTCAGTGAAAAACAGGTGCGCCGTTGTCACAGTAAGAAAACACTGTATCAACATCCGTGGTCAGGACTCTTCAATCTGCTACCAACATATATAAAAAATATTGTTGGAACACTTAGAAGTTTTCAAGAAAAACTGGTATGCACGTATATGGTCCACGAATAATAATAATAATAATAATAATAATAATAATAATAATAATAATAATAATAATCCATCTGAGAACTTTTCTTCTTATTTCCTTTTTTTTTTTTTTTTTTTTTTTGAAAGTAGTTTTTTCCTGACTTCAATTCTCGACTCGTGGAATGAGTCTCATAGATTCTTGGTATTGCCAGCGGCGATGACCTGACCTGAGGTCACCTTCCACTTTCTGTTATAGTGATGAGAGCAGGTGTGTGGCTGAGGGTCATTCTTGGTGACTGAGGATTATTGTATTAATGTTGGTAGAATTACCCACAATATTTTAGGTACAAGGACACAAGTGCAACTAATGTGACATTTTATTGTGGCAACGTTTCGCTCTCCAGGAACTTTGTCGAGTTGTTACAAACAATACATGGACAGAGGGTATATATAGGCTTAGAGTGAGGTGTAATACTAGTGGTAGTAGTAGTAGTAGTAGTAGTAGTAGTAGTAGTTGTAGTAGTAGTTGTAGTAGTAATAATACAATATGGTAGAATAATTAACTTGCACATGAGTAAAAAGTTATAAAAGCTATTAGTTGGGTAACATAAAAATAGGTTGGACAAATATTTCTGTTAGTGGTTTGATTTGAGAATGTTTCAGTGTTCCTCCTCTGTTATGTTCTTGTGCAGCATTAGCAGCAGAGACTGTGATGGCAGGGTTTATTGTTTTAAAGAGGATTTTTGCTAATACTTCAGAGAGGATGAAGCTGCCTTTAATTTGCTTGTGTTAAAAACAGCGATTAATGATGATTCAAGGCATTTACGTCTGCGGAAATTTGGTTCTCTGGTTACTAGTCGGGGGCCGTTGAATTTCATGATGTGATTGGTGGAAGTCCGGTGTTGTACGCAAGCGTTGTCAAATCCAGACGTAGCCCAACTCTCTCCAGTAAATATGCTGGGACAGGGCACAAATACAAATATTCTATTATGCTAATCAACTTCTCTTTATAGAGAGCATGTGTGTGTGTGCCTAGAGTCAAGCTATAAGCTTGCACATAAGTGCTGCACATCATGTAGTGTATAAGTGTGTTGCTGTTGTAAGTTATGATACTGTGTTATATGTGAAAAGTTGTGAAGGAAGTGCGGAGTCTTAGGAGTGTTGATCTTGTGTTCTAGGTTCGCTGGTTGGCCTGACGAGTGACAGTGAGTGTGAGGACAAAAAGAGCTCAGCGTCGTCGACGGGCGGTGCTGAGGTAGGCCGCCCCTTTCCCTCTGCCTCGCCGCACACGCAAGCCTCCGTGGTCAGCTCTCACGACTACAACATGGAGCAGAGCAACGTGGCTCTCCTGCGTGCTGAGCTCAAGGTAAGCACCACTCACACTCTCTCTCTCACCTTTTTCTAAGGTCAAGGTGAGTGCCTCTTTCATCTCTTATCTTTCACTCAAGATAAGGACCACAGTCGCACCTTCTTATCATAGCTGTGAAGAGGAAATAAGCTGACTACATGTGGCAGACATATCACCTCACTGACTGTAGCGGAGACGTCACCTCACTACATACAACAGAGATATCACCTCACCGACTGTAGCAGAGACGTCACCTCACTACATACAACAGAGATATCACCTCACCGACTGTAGCAGAGACGTCACCTCACTACATACAACAGAGATGTCACCTCACTTACTACATACAACTGAGATATCACCTCACTACATACAACAGAGATATCACCTCACTCACTACATACAACAGATATATCACCTCACTACATACAACAGAGATATCACCTCACTCACTACATACAACAGAGATATCACCTCACTACATACAACAGAGATATCACCTCACTCACTACATACAACAGATATATCACCTCACTACATACAACAGAGATATCACCTCACTCACTACATACAACAGAGATATCACCTCACTACATACAACAGAGATATCACCTCACTCACTACATACAACAGAGATATCACCTCACTACATACAACAGAGATATCACCTCACTCACTACATACAACAGAGATATCACCTCACTACATACAACAGAGATATCACCTCACTCACTACATACAACAGAGATATCACCTCACTCACTACATACAACAGAGATATCACCTCACTCACTACATACAACAGAGATATCACCTCACTCACTACATACAACTGAGATATCACCTCACTACATACAACAGAGATATCACCTCACTCACTACATACAACAGAGATATCACCTCACTACATACAACAGAGATATCACCTCACCGACTGTAGCAGAGACGTCACCTCACTACATACAACAGAGATATCACCTCACTTACTACATACAACAGAGATATCACCTCACTACATACAACAGAGATATCACCTCACTCACTACATACAACAGAGATATCACCTCACTACATACAACAGAGATATCACCTCACTCACTACATACAACAGAGATATCACCTCACTCACTACATACAACAGAGATATCACCTCACTCACTACATACAACAGAGATTGTCGTTAAACATCACTTCTTTTGATCACTTGTAGATTTTAATGATAAAATTTACAAATATCAACTTAACTATTTACAGTTTTTCCTCATAAATGTGTTATCAGTGTTTTTGTTTACCACGAGGATGAAAACAACAGTGAAGGTGCCAAGACCAGACCTTGCGGTGCTCAACTCTTTATTTCAAGACTGCATTTGGTTTTTGTAATATTCTTTGTGATCTCTTTGTTAGTAATTGGTATTTTCATTTTCCTACTTTTCCTTTGTACGTGAATGGTATATAATACCGACGAGATGAAAATTAGACACGTGTGCAACATCTGGGTATCTTTAATGTAGACGTTTCGCCCTCCAGTGGCTTTATAAATATAAATTCAGGGACATAATTTGAAGACAGTGGAGCTGTATACAAGGGATGAGGTAATCAGTCCCTCAGTCTTGGAGTTGGTGTGAAGAGCACCGTAGTCCTGAAGACTACTACTATTACTACTACTACTACTACTACTACTACTACTACTACTACTACTACTACTACTACTATACATATACAACAGGCCTAGTGTCTAATCGACACGTGCCTAGGACAAAATGGTAACTATCTATCTCTCTCTCTCAGTCATTGGTCAGGAGATGACTTAATTCACTCAAGTGCTGCACCATTATTGGATACTGTTAATGTATTTTTGTTCTGCAATTATCTGTTTATTTAGGTAAGTGAGAGTTGAGGCAAGAACTTTGGAGTTACATATAAAGTCGTTACAATGGTCATTTGCATAATGGAATCATCTGTTCCAGCACCTGCATACTTTATAACGTCTTCCCTTCTACTACTACGGCTGTTTTTTTCTCTCTCTCTCTCTCTCTCTCTCTCTCTCTCTCTCTCCTCTCTCTCTCTCTCTCTCTCTCTCTCTCTCTCTCTCTCTCTCTCTCTCTCTCTCTCTCTCTCTCTCCACCTTTTAGTGTAAGCGAGAACTATATTACATTTGAAAATTAACTTGATGAACTGGTTGCAAATCTGCATACTGGAATATCTCCTGCCGGTAATCATAACTGTGATGCTAACTGAGAAGCTGCTTTTGCAAGTACAAAAGAAAAAAACTTGATTGAGCAGTGATTGCTTCACCAGTCAATTTCAACACCCCACAAGGACAGTGGAAACTTGATGCAGTCACTACTGTGACCCTGATGTTGTACGGTGATCTTCACCAACACCAAGACTGAGGGACTGATTACCTCATCTTTTGTATATAGTTTTACAGTCTTCACACTATGTCCTTGTACTGATAAAGCCACTGGATGGCAAAACGTCTAAAATAAAGATACCCAGATGTTGTACTCTTTTCTTTCTGCATCTAATTCGGTTCCTCCTACTGACCTAGTTCCTGGACCTGACTTACATCACGTGACCGAGGTCAGGTGGTCTGGGCAGTTGTTAGGTCTGAAGAAAGGCTCAGTTGTAGGCCGAAATGTGTTGTACTCTTTTCATTTTCTCTGAGTGGGTTCTTTTGTACCGTTGACCATCTAACACACACACACACAATGCGGTAGTTAATCGGTATATTTTTACCTGGGTTTGAGTTTATCAACATCCATCTCCTCCTCCTCCTCCGGTTCGTGTCTTTCACCATCCTTCGTTTTAAAAATTAATTCCCAAAACCTCTCTGGCTCATTTCATTTTCAGGTGCCATCTTGTCTGCCTCTCTCACTTCTTCAAGAATGTCCCTGTCCACTTTGTGTCGTTCCTGCGAGCGTTGTATGTCGTGCTCAGGATTTCTCGCTTTCTTCTCTCCTTTAGAGTTAGTTTTGAACTCCTAAGTGTCTCTTTTTGGTGATGGATGCCTCAGCCCTCTCTCACATTCATCTCTCTAGTGGACGCTTCTGGCTAAATTGCACCTGAATAAGTTACAAGGAGCAGAGAGAAAGTTGGAGTGAGAGAGAGAGAGAGAGGGAAGGAAGGACTGAGATAGACATGTAGATATAAAACTTGCATATACCCATGCATGTTCCTCTTGGTCGTCATTTATGTGTTTTCTCTTACTCTTCAGTCCTGTTTCATCTGCCGATGTCACAGGCAGATGGCAGTACTTTGCCCCTTTCTCACTAAGACAGTAGCCCCTGGGTTAAGCAGGTATCCCTGCTGTCCACTCACTTATTGGCAGTGCAAGCTGTGTGATATCTGCTTCCTGAATGCAGCCACATCCACTCATTTGTATTTCAAACAATACTTAATAGTGCAAACTTCAGCTCAACACCACTTGACCAATGGTGGCAGCGGTGGGATCTTCCCTGCCTCCGCTTTTCACATCTTTTTAGACGGCATTTTCAAGTCCAGTGGTCAAGTCAACATTACCACGAGAGAGAGAGAGAGAGAGAGAGAGAGAGAGAGAGAGAGAGAGAGAGAGAGAGAGAGAGAGAGAGAGAGAGAGAGAGAGAGAGAGAGAGAGAGAGAGATAATTACCTCCTCCAGTGTGTGTTAGTTTTACTCTGGAGAGTTTTCACGAGTGTTTTGGGGCACATGTGCAGTCTGGTTGGCTCGTGAACTGCCCAGGATTACTGCACCAGCATGTGGATGTCCAGGACTCTCAAAAGTAGCTGGAAAACCCATTGGAAACTCACGTCACGGAAGCCAAGGTTGAGTCTGTGCAGTATTTATAGCGTGATTGGACGACTTTGTTGGTTCAGGCTTCTCCAAGCGTTCTTGTGGAACAGTTTTCCCTGTTAAATGTTTGGTTCAGCAAGTGCCAGTATTGAAGCAGTTGCTGGGGTGTTATAGTGTGTGATGGCGGGGTGTTGTGACACTGTGATGGTGGGGTGTTTTGACACACTGTGATGGTGGGGTGTTGCGGGGGTGGGTGTTGTGACTGGGTGTAGCCACGTACAAGGTTGACAGGTGAGAGCCTTCGTCACGGGTGTCAAGGCAAAGCAATGTAATACAAGGGATGTAGTGTGTATGGTTGTTGATGTAGTTTTGGTTGCTATCATGGTTGATGTGGTTTCTACGATGGTTGTTGATATGGTTGGTACGATAGTTGTTGATGTGGTTGCTATGATAGTTGATGTAGTTTCTACGATGGTTGCTGATGTAATTGTGGTTGCTACGATGGTTGTTGATGTTGCTACGATGGTTGTTGATGTCGTTGCTACGATGGTTGTTGATGTAGTTATGGTTACTGGGGTTCGCAGTATGTTTCATTGATATATATTATGCAAATAGAGAATACTTTCTCAACATTTACGTACTCTCATATCTCTTATCATTATTATAGGTCATATACAATAACACATTCATAAGACACTCGTGCAATACTTGAGTATCTTTGAACGCTTCACCTACACAACCGGCTTCTTCAGTCAGTGTAATCCTGGAGAGGGAAGTAGTGGAGGTAAGGTGATCAGTCCCACAGTCTTGATAGGATGTGGTCAGTCCTCTCTGCCATATAAGACGCTGTGAACACGGGACAATATGTGAGAGGTGACAAAACAGTGACTTAAGTGCCGACATCACTGCCTTGACTCCTTGTATTCTCAAGGTTATTATAATAAACCGCATTATGTTCAAGGTCTTTGCTACATTACCCTTATTTTCTTCTCCACATGAAATATATTATTATTTATTATTTTACCTGTTCTTCTCTGTTCCTTTTACAGGTCTTCATTCTTTACATATCTCATAATTTGATATGTTGTTACTGATCATCTTAAGATCTGGTTGCTGGTTTTATTGCCTCAATAAAAGCTTATCATACAAGGTGGCTTTATTTCTGTGGGTGGGACGCCTCTCTGCTGCTAGTGTGCAGTTGTTGTGGGTCTGTGTGCAGTTGTTGTGGGTCTGTGTGCAGTTGTTGT